TCAACCCAAGTAGCATGACAAGTACACCCCGATCCCGTTGCCCGCGGCAGACGAAGCCCCTCGCAGCCCGCAAACAAAGACACCAGCGTCTAACTGCTGATAAAATCCATCAGCGCAAACAGCGAAGGCGGCTGTATCCTGCCCCCGTCCGGCGCGCCATACGCCTTCTCGAACCGGGGGTCGATCCAGTCCCGCATAGCGGCAATGTCGACGCCGTCGTACGATTCGTGCGGCAGCTCCTCTGCCGGGCCTTCCTCCGACGCCGCGGTGGCATGCGTGTCCAGGCTTCCGTCCTCGCATGTGCCCGGCGTCGACTCGTCCGCGCACCCATCCCCCCCGACCGCGGAGCTCGACGAGGCCGCCGGCCCCGTGTCCCTGCGCTCGCCGATGTTGACGCCCTCCAAAAAGGCAGAGCTCCACGAAAAGTCCTCCGGGTTGGCGTCGTTCTCCCAGGGGAGAGTCAGCTTCCGCACGTGCTCCTCTTGCCTGCGGGAGGCTGCCTCGGAGAGTTGCGCCGCGCGCGACGACGACGGGTTGCTGGTGAGGGGCTCGGAGCTGCATCGCCGCGGCTGCAGGCGCTTGTTCTGCTCGGCGACGGCGCGCAGTCCGTCTGACAGGGCGGATATGGCGGACAGGGCTCGCTCGAGCCCGCGCTCCGTGGCGAGGAGCCTGGACTCGAGGTCGATGATGCGGTGCTTCACCTTGTCCTTGTGCTTGCGCTGGCTGCTGCGGAGTCGGGCTGCCCGCTCGGCCGGACGAACGGGCCGCTTGGGAGCCGGTGCCATGACGGGCTGCTGCTTGTTGCTGGCGCGTCGCGAGATGTTTCTGTGTGATTGTGGAATGGGCTAGTCGATGACGTTTAAATTAAATGTAGTTTTTGCGTAAAACGTGCATGTGACGGGGCCCGAGGGTGAGGTGAGAAGAATCCTGGATCCAGTTGCACCACCGTTGCGACGTCCAGTGGGGGTTTTAGCATCGTGCGGGCGAGCAGTCCGGGTCCGGCCGCGTTGCCGTCATTGTCTTACCGTCGACATCTAATTGGTCGTCCTACCCGGTACCGGTATCGTCGTAGTGGCGGCTGGGCTCCAGGTGATATTATGCTCTGTAAGGCGAAATGAGTCGACTTTTTCTATGCGTGGCGCCCGTCAAGATCTGCTGTAGCTTTATTGGAATTTATGTAATTCCCATCGCAGGGTATTGGAGCAGTGCGTTTGGGCAGCAGACGAACTGACGAGAAGAATGGGATTATAGTAACAAAGGACACCTGCCCCTTGAAAGGGACTCATCAAGCTTCCGACACAATGAGAACCGCGTTTACCAATGGAACTAAATAAGAAGATTCAAAACAGTCTGGTGGCCTTCAGTCCAATATACCCTATGTAAAGCTGGCAGGTTTGCCACTGCGCTCTTGATACCTTCTCTGGCGGGGTCCAACTTGCCCTTGCTTGGCGGCACATTATAGCCCCGAAAAACCTGGACAAGAAGGCTACATATAGATACATATGTATATATATGGCCGAAAGAGTTGGCCCCAGGTCCTTTATCATTTGAAAGTAGTGCACTAATATTCGACGTTGAGAAAAATAAGCAAAGGCGTACGTCCAGCATCTTGCTAAGACTGTGTGCAACGCTCAGCCACCGACGGAAAAGCAGGCGTAAAGTTGGGAAAATGGAATGACCAAAACGCAAATAAAACTGGACTGATACGACCCATGGAGATTTTCGAGAAACATGCATGCGAAATTTTGCGGATGCCGACAGTTGATACCTGGCGCGGATGAGTTAAAACCCCAAATTGGGTATGAATAGCAAGCTTTCTCCCGCAATGTGTCAAAAGTCGCCGAGAAAGAGACATCTTCTGGGAGAAATAAATCACAGGAAATGGGATAAATGCGATATGATGCTTCCGCGACTCTCGACTCGAGTCGTAATCGGACACCTGGCACCCCAAGCATAAGCAGGGTCGTTCCGGCGCGCCCCGATGAACCACGCCAGCAGGATTGTTGAAAAACGATTAATTCTCTTTCAGCTTCACTTGGCCGTCTTTTGTGCTAGTGCCTCTGTCTCCCTCAGAAAGCAGCGAGCGGCGCTATTGGGCGATGCATTACGCAGCCGCGGTGCCAAAAGACCCCGTTTGTGACCAAGGGACTTTTTCCACGGTAGACTGATTCGCAGGGCGCGCATGAAGCATTATAAAACTGCCCAGAATTTCGGCAACCTCCACGGCATCAATTGTATACACTTCCGCGTGGGCAGATCAAACCAAGGGCCAGACCAAGGGCCAGAGGTTGACGTCATTGGAGGAACATGGCAACAGGAACCGTTCCTATCAGCATCCACACGCGACAAGAACACTCCGAAAAATGCAGCCCAAACCCTGGAATTCAAGCCGGATGAGAAACGCCTTGAAATGCGGAAAAATAAAAAAGCCAAGTTCTGCCCTGGGATACGATGCTAGTAGATCGGGCGAATGGGGTCGTGCTTGGAGCATAAAAGCGACTGACTCTACTTGACACAAGTGCCCGCGATACAAATGACCATCAGACCGAAAACTTAGGACGGCCGGGCTGAAAGGTTGGCGATCAAACAAGAGTGTCAGAGCTTCTTTCAAGTCATTGTGTCGTGCAGCGACTCGCTAGCGCCCGGCCGTGGGCTTTGCTGACGTTTTTTCGCGTAATTACTTCCTTTTTGCATTGTTGTTTCAAATTCGGTTCGCCGATGCGACAGAGTTTAGGGAATTGCATTTGATATGATGACTTCGCGTGTAATGCGCCAAAGAGATTGTCGGCGAGTTTTGTATTCCTTGGCTTACACACGGGGAACCGGCTCCCATTATTGCACACACTGCGCTTGCACACACTGCGCTTGCACGTCGCGTCTTGCATGAAGTCCCTCTAGGCCAAGGGGAGAAACCGCTATTTCGTGCCAGGGAGTATATCCGCTTCCAAGAACCCCCCTGCTGCTTGATAGTAAGGCTGAGGCACAACGGCGCGGGCCTACACGGAGCTCAGTTCTCCGAGCGCTAGATGGCTCATGACTTGAATAAGGCGAACTCGTCCGAGGGGTGGCAAGGACTCAGGACTCAGGAGGGTTTCCTCGCTTCGAAATAGGCAGCAGGACAGAGTTGGGGCCGCCCATCTTGTCTTGGTCGGGCGGGCAGGGCGTAAGGTTTGATAGAGGCCGCGTCTGGCAGCTGCAGCTTGCCATCCATTTCCATGAGCTGGGTTTCTCAGGAAGATGTACGGATGCGAGGATTCACGAGCCGCCTCGTGGATCGAAACAATGATCATCGCCGCATCACGGGCTTGGACACTTCAGAGGCGTGGAATGACGACAAGCTGTTGCGGAATCATAACAAAAGGACTGCACGGGCTGGTTTCCGAAGCAGGTTTCAAATAGGAGCGCACCTCAATCTGCGACAAAAACAAATGAGGACAGCAGTCTCCAAGGTCTGGCGTCGAAGCGTGCGGCGTTTCTGATGTGTGGGGTTGCTGGTTCGTGAACAGAGTAGACTGGACCAAGACGGACTACGCTGCCCATGACAGCGGAGAAGCAGAATGTCGATTGATGAGCCGAGTCACCAGACGCAAGGAGAGATTGATATTGGCCTTGCCCATTCGAGCTGGGTCGATCAAGGCAAAACCGCAGCCGTATGAGGGGATGGCTTGGCACGGGGGCACGGGGCACCAAGGGGCCATGGAGGCACTCATGTGCAGCATGCGGCGATTTAGCTCCACTTGCCAATTAACCTTGGGGACTGCCTTATTTCTTTAATTTTCTCTCGGCGAGTTTAGATTCATCAGGCGCTGTGGCTGAAATATGCAGAGTGCGGAAAGGAAGCATTAATAGACGTAAATTTCAGAGTAGCACTTGGCACATCTGCGCCTATCCGACGGCACGAGGAAGGTTCCATGTCCGCCCCGGCTGTCGCTCCTTCCCAGTCGGACAGGCTGGTTCACCAGTCTCGACTCTTGACTCTTGACTCTTCTCCTGCTCCGCCTTTCCAATGCGCCTCGGCCATCTGTTATTGCACCGCGCAATAAACTGTCTGGAGCTGACATCTGTACATACTCGGCGAGCCGGCCCCTGATCCGATCTCGTCGCTGCCACCCTGGTTGCTCACACGCGCCCGGCGTTTGGACCTGGTCCGCTTGGCCGGGCCAGCTATTGTCGAGTCTTGGCATTGATTTGACTGGTCCGGCCTTGACGGCCCCAGCTCCATCGCCATCGACGCCGCCCAAGGCCTTTTTCGAAACCCATATGGCGGCGCTTCACGCCGCAGCCAAGGAGGGCTTGCCTCGTGCTCAGTCTCATCCCTGACAACTACCATCCTTGCGAGTCGCTGCCGTTGGAGTGCTCCGTCTTGGCAGGCACGTCGTGCTCAACCCGTGGGAGTGTGATGCCACAAGATACACTCCATGCCCCAGATGTCCCAGATGCTGCCTCCATGCGGCCGCGATTCGGCCACATCATGAGACGTCTTACCACGTGGGCTCAGCACTTCATTTGCTGGGCCCAGTCAGAATTACTGGCAGAGCCATGTCGTTCATCGCGAGATTGAGGCCAAGATGCGACAATAGCCATCTTGTCTCGAGGCTATTCGGGCCCCCCCATGTCCACCATGCCTCTCAATTATTCTCCTTGTAATTCAAACCCTGTTTCACGTCATTTGTTGCAGTATTTCTTCCCTTGGATGCCCATGTTTTCTTCATCCTGTCCCTCTGGTTGTTGCGATTCCTGTAATCTGATAGATCCGGCAGGTCGGCATCCATCATTTCCTTCTCTTCGTCAAGTTGTTCCAGCGAGTTCCGACCAGCGTTGAACGTTGATTTTTCTTCTTTTTTTGTCGAATTCCCTCTAGACCAACTCTAGGTGGATTGTCCGTCGTTTGGTTTCTTGTTTTCGCCATTTATACATACCGGCGGAGCGATCCGCGGGATCGGCCGTCACTGTTCATCACTGTCAATAAGGGCTTTGTCCGTTTACAATTTTAGCCCGTCATGACGTCCATCAAGAATATGGTTCTTGGAGCTGTCCTCCTCTGGGCACAGCTGATTGCCGCCTTTCCCACTCCCATCGGCGGCGACGGCGGCCTCTTGAGCCTCCTCGGCCTTGGCTCCAGCCGGAACGGCGACAAGAATGCTTCGCCCACTCCAGCAAAGAGCAATGTCAAAGCTAAATCAAGGATCGTCCCCAACAGCTATATCGTTGTCTACAAGAATACCACCAGCGCCGCGGATGTCAAGGCCATGACGGCCTCCGTCTCTTCCCAACTCAAGAAGCGCAACCTGAACAAACGTGGATCCGAAGGCCAGCTACTTTCGACCGACGTCCGGTCCTTCCAGATAAACAACTGGCATGCCATGAATTTCGAAGCCGAGGAATCCATGGCGTTGGAGGTTGGCAAGTATGACGGGGTGGATTATGTCGAGAAAAACACGTGGTTTTCGACACTGGGGCTTGTTAAACAAGAGAATGCCCCTGCTGGATTGCAGCGATTGTCAGAAGCGGCTCCCGTAGGCGAGCAACCAAACAAAGGTGAATAACCCCCCGCCTCTAGGCTTTCGTCCTTCAAACTTCCTGCGACTGCATCGACTGACTGGAGGGGGGAAAATTTGTAGGACTTTACGTGTACGACTCATCTGCGGGCAACGGCACTACTGCCTACGTAGTTGACTCTGGCTGTCGAACCACCCACCGGGATTTTGAAGGGCGTGCTACTACGATTGCCAACTTTGTTAAAGGCGAGAGAGTATGTTGTAGACCCCTCCAAGGACTCTACGTGGCCGCTTGCATATTAATGATGCGTAGGCAACCGACGCCAACGGCCACGGCACCCACGTCGCCTGCACTATTGCTGGCGCGAAGTTTGGTGTTGCTAAATTGGCCACGGTCAAGTGCGTCAAGGTCATGAATGCCGAGGGCCAAGGAACAAATGCGGACATTATCGCAGGCTTGCAGAGTGTTGTTGAAGACGTGAAGAAGACCAAACCCCAGGCGGCAACTATGAACATGTCCTTGGGTGGAGGCCGGTCACAGGCCTTGGACACGGCCATAAACAATGTCTTCAAAGCCGGTGTTCTTCCTGTGGTGGCAGCCGGAAACGAGAATGCATGTCGCTCCAAATGGCCAAGTCTGCCACTGTCATTGAGATGAAACGAGCGCTAACATCGTCCTGCAGCAAAACGCAAAAAACGTATCGCCAGCCGCTGCCCCCAACGCCATCACCGTTGGCGCCGTAGATGCCAACACGGATCAAAAGGCTGGCTTCTCAAACTTTGGCCCGAGTGTCGATATCAATGCCCCTGGTGTGGATGTTCAGTCTTGTGGCATCAGGTCTGACAGTGATGTGTCGACTAAGAGCGGGACCAGCATGGGTAAGAGTTCAAGCATCAAGACCGTTGTCCCCCTTGGCCACAACTGACCGACCTCATCTATAGCCTCTCCCCATGTTGCCGGCCTTGCCAACTATTTGATGCGGTTGGAGAATGTCAGCGACCCCGCCAAAGTAACCGCCCTGCTGAAGGGCCAGGCCAAGGAAACTGATGCCACGGTGGAGGGCGGCCGAAGAGACACAACGCCCCTGATTGCCAACAACGGAAACCAACTAGATAAGAATAAGTTCCTGGATGAGAATGGCGCCAAGGGGGGTACACAGGGAAACGGCGCCGCCTCGAATTAATCCGCACAGCTACTGTAATTGGAGTTGGTCATCTTTTGTGGGAGTATCAAGGCCTCGTAGCTTAACCAGAAGAGTCAAGAGTACTGCCACGTTTTCCTTGCAGTCCGCCACGGACATGGTGCATCCCGCGTTGGCAGAAATTCCAATTTATTAACATTCAATGTCTCTTGTAGTATTATTGGACCAAGCGTATTGAGTTGTGCAGTCAGTTTTGTAGATATAATCGGGGTCTTTATATAGCACCCCACCTTTCCGCCATTTGTTTCCTGGCGGTGCTGTTGAATGCGTGTTGGACTGGACTATTTACCACCTGGCGTTTATACGTCAAACACTCTATTCGAGCTGGGCTATTCGAGGCGCATCCCGGTCCCGCGTCCCCGGGTCCGGACACAAAACTCCCACTGGTGAAGCACCGCGTAGGTAGTCAGTAATTATCAGCCAGTGGGTTTTGTCAAAGTAGCGCATGTTCATGCACAGCGTATTGGCCAGGGAGCTTCAGGGTTATATTGGCAGCAGTGCTGGAGGGAAACAACGCAGCGTCATAAAGCTAGATTTGTATTGGGTCACGGACATGGAGAGGTAGACCTGGGACGCTAGACACGACGCAGTAGTAAGCTTTGGTGGTATTGTTCTGTCTGCCATATATGCATCGACAAGAGCCTAGCCACTCCATCTTCAGAAGCACAGAATCCACGGTGAGAAAGGAGGTTACAAAATGTTGCTCGCCAACAGAGTCTCAACACCTGTCAACCCGTCGTGACAAGGACTCAGTTGGGCCATTCCACAGGAGAAGCCTGGAGCATGGGGATTACTTTTAGCACTTCTTCGGCACAACCGTGGTCATCAAAGGACCAGATTGCAATTTGACATCCGTGCTGGGCTGCGCCCCATTTACGTACATCTTGGCGATTCTGGGAAAAGCAGAGAATCAATCAGTGGGTGGCCGTGGGATCAGTAAATTATTCGTATTAGAAGGTCGTATGTAGCTCAAGAACCTTGTCTCGTCCATTAAATGCTCATTAGTAGGACAAGGAGATGCATGAATATTTGTCTGAGAAACAATAGTGATAATGGAGAAGCAGCTTTAGGGGAATCAAGTCTTTACAGTTCTTCTCTGGCGGTCGTTATGGCTGTCGTGACTGCTGGTGCGGGATCATTTAGTTTTTGAAGCAGGATGCTTGCCTCCTTAAAGATATTGGGGAATTGAGCCCCTAATAACCATGCGGTGCCGATCTGTGGGTGGCGCGTTAGTTGGGAGCCGCATCTTGTGTTTGTAGCAAGGCGGGCATCATTTACCATTAGGCCGGAAACAAATAGCAGACACAGAGCAACAACCCCAAACATGACCAGGGTCTCGCCGGTGTCCATGGTTGGCTCATTCCGTTGCTTCTGGTTATTCTCCAAGTTGAGCTGGTTGGGATCTTGACGGGGGTAAAGTGTCTCGATGAATTGTTCAATCTAATTGACATGTCAGTAGGCTCAACTTGAGAGTAGAGTTGGAGTTGAACTGGCATACCTTGGCGCATCGCACGCTAATGTTGAGGTAATTGGGATCTCTGGGGTCATTCTTCTTCTGAATTCTTCGGGCATATCTGCGGAATACCTCGCATACAGTGTAGAGGTTTTGTGTGCACTCGGTCATGAGCTGGCAGGCGTCGCCCTTTGTGATTTTGACGTTGCGCTTCAGCACGTCAGGGTTGCGGAAGACCAGCTCCAGAGTAGCAATGGCCATGCCTTGCGGAATAGCAACAAAGTTGAACACACTCTGTTCGCGCATGCCGGCCATGTAGAAGAGGCATTCCTCACAGTGTTTTAAGGCATCGAGAACCATGTCTGATATGCAATTCAGGGCCTTGTCCTCGTAATTTGGGTCAAACAAGTCCTCCCACTTGTCCACGTGCCTGCTCCAAATCTCCTTGGGATACCAGCGGCGACCGTCGCTCCAGTCCTCCCGGAGATCACGGATAATGTTGGTCTTCTGGAGGAACTGGCCCATGGACTCGGTCAGGGAGGGTCGCTCTGCGAGTTTGGGGTTCCCTAGTTCTGAAGCGACAAAGAGCCTGGTCAGACCCTCACCGACCAAACCTGCGACGTAGTGGCAGTACAGCTCATAGTCGTCAATGGTGTTGACACCATTCTTGATCATTTCGTCGTTTTGGGCGTAGTCAGCCATGCCATGGCCCATTTTTATGGTAATGTCCTTGATGATTGCATAGTAAGTTGGCTTAATCTTTTTGAGCTCGGTGATGACGACGTCAAATTTTTCCAGGAGCTCCCTGTCCTTTTCTTGGCTCTCGTGGTACTGCCAGCCATCAACCTCCATGGTGTCGTGAAAGTTGCGCAGCAAAGGCACCTTCTTGCTCAACGGTATCGTCATATCATCTTCGATGGTATCGAGGCCCCGCAGTACCAAATAGAACAGACTAATGGGGACAAGGAGCTCATGGTTGAGTTCTTGGATGACAGCGGCAAAGCTGCGACTAGTCAAGTTGAGGAAGCGGAAGCATTCTTTCAAGGTTTCCGACTCTGTGGAAGGATCGCGCCTGTGGACAGGGTTGTGCCAGAGCTTCCTGTAATCAAATGGGTGTTAGCAACAGCCATGGTCACCGTCATGTTCTGTAGAATGCATTGCCAAAGCATCGTATGGCGCTGTACCGAGGGTGACCATCAAACATACCACTGGATAATGGAGCGCAGCTGGTTGGGGTGCAGAAGGTAGTATAGGGCGCCCATTGTGTAGTATTTGCCGGCCAGCCAGCTCAATTGGCGGAGAGGACGTGGGTGTCTGAAAGGACAAGGAAAGTCTCATAAAAGGGGGGTTGCGAAGAGATATCCAGACGCAGCAAAGCGCAGGAGTACAATGGCCAGCTTTTCTGTGCGCGGTCGTGACGCGGCTGCAGCAACCGGCTTCAGAGCCGAAAGAGTTGTTCAAGCAGACAGCGGCCGGTAAGGAAACGGCCTCTAGAGGAGAAAAGAAGCTGTCGAGATGGCAGAGGAAGGATGTGGAGGAAAGGTTGGGGAGAGGGAAGCGGGACGCGTGAGGCGTCAGAAATTAAGAGGCCCAACATGGAGAGTTTTTGTATTAGCCATTAGCCAAAGAAGTGTCGGAAGGGGTTTTCTCCAAGCGGAGATTGCCTCCACACTGGGATGGGTCGGCTGTGGCTTGTGCAGGCGGCTTCTGCAGCAAAAGATGCCCGAAACCCGGCCAAATGTGGCGGACAGTGGCTTGTTTCCCTGTTCTTCATTTGAGCGGCGTACGGAGGTGCGGAAGAGAAGGATTCTGATTCGCCGAGGCACGCGTTTGCCCTGAGCACGAATACGCAAGAGCGCCTTCCGGTTGCGGGATGAATACGCAGCTTCTCACCAGTGGCTTGAATGGCCGAAAGGTCCAGCGTCACCAAACACCATATCCTCCAACCCCGGAGTAAAACTTCTGCGTTAGCTCGAGCGCAAGTGTTTGCTGCTACTGGTTTGACCGTGATAAGTCGGTGTAGAGCTGTGCCACGACGGTTCAAGGCGGAGAGCCCACTGAAATGACTTTTCAACCGGCGGAAAGCTGCCAGGTTTGTCTCAACAAAGCTCTTCGTTGACACGTGGAAAGTTACTAGGAATTGCGGTGTTCGCTTCGACTCGTCTGGCAACGGATCAATCCTCGAGCCTGCCGTCGCGTTGACTGCACGACTGGCACTGTGCAGGATATTATCCGACTCCACGTCGCTGAGCCATCAATCCAGTCCGATACACTCTTACAGCCCAGCGCGACGGAAGCCTGGCATTCATGACACGGGGAATGGCGAAACCGGGCAACGCGAAGCGCGGCAGGCCAGATGTGCTATACAATGGCGCCCGAAGACAATCAATCGATGCGTCTCGCAGTCGGCGTATGGACAGCTTATAACCTGGGCTTGGCGAGAGTCAAGGCACAGGAATTATCGTGGCGTTGAGGCCAGCTGAGGCTTGTGAGGGGATTTGGCATGGCCAAAGCATTTCTACTAGGTTCCATGCCAACGCGAGCTCTTGCCATATATGCAGGCAAAGCTGTATAATGTGGCCAAGTTGGAGCTTTTGGAGCTGTTCAACTCGGGCCTCTTGGGCTGCTGCCGCCGCATATGAAGCTTTTTGGCTGGGCTGATGGAAGCTGCTTCAAGGTTAGCTGGAGCTATCAAATCCCCCAGAGCTTCTTTTTGTTTTCCCCTCCGAGGGCGCTTCGGGGACCCTGCCAGGGATTGCCTGCGGCGCTGCTTGATGACGTTATTGTGAGATTCAATGTGTGAGGCTAGCTAGAAGGCAAAGCTGCTACGAAGGTGCCTAGCCCTAAACTCCCGCAAGGCAGCATTATATCACAAGACTCTATTCCCCTTCCCCGTTCTTATGGAGTAACTTTCGACCCCAGGTGTCTCGGGACAATTTCGACCTCGCACAAAAATTCCAGCCCGTCAGGTGGACGAAGGCTCGAGACCAGCCAGTCATGTCCTCACAAAGCCGACCCCACGGCGTAATCAACGTGGAGAAGAACCATCTGCAGGTCGGGACGGGGTCCGGTTGTCATACTACATTTTGAACCATGACTTTCGTACTTGTCTCTCGGTTAGAGAAAACCGCCATGGTGAGCCAATCTCCATGCGGACGGGCGACTGTATGTAGTACTTGCAATCCTTGCTTGAACCCGCGCACGTGTCCAATACAATAATCAGCCCTCCACTTATGAATAGAGAGCGCTGTTCATTCCGTCCCATCTGCATCATCATCTTGCTGCGGCCAGGGTTCGTTCGGGACTCGGCACGGCTAGCCTGTAAGACGCTGATCTTCTGCCCCAGGCACGTGTGCGGGATGAAAGGTTGGCAGGATTCTAGTTATGCGGGGTTGGACTTTAATTTTCTTCCATATTCGTTAGTTGAGGGGATTCGTTCTTCCTTTTCGCGTCCATTCGCGGACCGAGAAGCATCATCGTGGTTCGGCTTCTCCGAACTTGCTGGGATACTAATACCCCGTGCCCGTGCCCGTGCCTGGTCGGGCAAGAGAAAAGAAACAAAGTTGAGAGCAGCCGCTTGAAACCCATTTGTTGTTCTATGACTTGTGTCCCGGCTACTCGTTGTTGCGCATAATGGACAACGAGGCCGTTGATATCGTTCCCGGGGAGCATCACAATGCGACGACCAAGGGGGACTCTGAGGCGCAAGTCGCTGCTGTCGAGCGGGTTTCCAGCAAACGACAGAGGTTATCTGATGTATTCACAATTGTAAGCCCGCATTTTCTTGACTTGTCGCAGCCTGGGACCAATGGACGTGGCCATTTGTCGGTTCCCATGCCCGCTTGCCCCTACTCTACTAACGGTTGTTAGTTTTGCTCCGGCTTCGCCCTCATCTCGGATGGTTACCAGAACAACCTCATGACCATGTCCAACGTGCTCTTCAAGAAGGAATACCCGAACGAGTACACCCCACAAGTCAGCACCCGCGTCTCCAACGCCCTGCTCGTCGGCGAGATCCTGGGCCAGGTCGTCGTCGGCCTGACCTGCGACTACATGGGCCGCAAGACGGCCATCATCATGACGACGCTGCTCATTGTTCTCGGCGGCATCCTGGCCACCGCCTCTCACGGCGTTACTATCGACGGCATGTTTTGGATGCTGACTGTTTCGAGAGGCATCGTTGGTTTCGGAGCAGGTATGTCTCGCGTATCCAACCACCCCGTCCCCAGTCGATGTGCCCACTCCCTAGATCCTCGTACATCATGATGCAAGCTGATTTCCGCGACTCTGACGCCGTCTAGGTGGCGAGTACCCTGCCGCCAGCACGTCCGCATCCGAGGCCGCCAACGAACACACACCCGCGAACCGCGGCCCCGTCTTCATCCTCGTCACCAATCTCCCCCTCTCGTTCGGCGGCCCGTTCGCCGTGTCCGTCTTCCTCATCGTGCTGTCCGCCGCCGGCGAGACCAACCTCTCGACCGTGTGGCGCGTCTGCTTCGGCGTCGGCGTCGCGCTGCCCCTGACCGTCTTCTACTTCCGCCTCAAGATGCTCAACTCCAAGCTCTACCGCCGCGGCGCCATCAAGAGGCACGTCCCCTACGCCCTGGTCGTCAGGTACTACTGGAAAACGCTGATCGGCACCTGCGGCGCCTGGTTCCTCTACGACTTTGTCACCTTCCCCAACGGCGTCTTCTCCGGCACCATCATCTCCAGCGTCGCCTCCAGGTCCGGCAGCACCCTGCGCAGCACGGCGGAGTGGCAGCTTCTCCTCGGCGCTATTGCCCTGCCCGGCGTTCTCCTCGGCGCATTCCTCTGCGACAGGCTGGGCCGCAAGAACGTCATGATGCTGGGCTTCTCGGGGTACCTGGTCTTTGGGCTGGTCATTGGCTGCGCGTACGACAAGATCACCGCCATCATCCCGCTCTTTGTCATCTTTTACGGCCTGATGCAGAGTTCTGGCAACCTGGGCCCGGGCGATATGCTCGGCCTCATTTCCTCGGAGAGCTACGCCACCAGCGTCCGTGGAACGTGCTACGGCCTCAGTGCGGCGATTGGCAAGACGGGCGCTGCTGTGGGGACACAGGCGTTTACACCGATTCAAGATAGGTTCGGCAAGAGGTGGACGTTTATTGTCGCGGCTATATGCGGTGTGGTGGGCGTCTTGGTCACGTACTTTTTTGTGCCCAGGTTGACGGGCGAGGATCTGGCCAAGCGGGACGAGGAGTTTAGGGCGTACCTGTTGGCGAATGGGTGGAATGGCGAGATGGGCGAGGCTGATTTGAAGGGTTTGGCAGAGGATGTCGACGAGGGCGTGGTGTCTGGTGATCATGGAGAGAACGGGGTCAAGGCTGCTGGGTAGGGATAATGTTATGGAGCGGTTGGTTTTTGAGAATGCCCAAATGACTGGGTGACGTCTCTGTTGGCTTCTTGATGTTGTTCACGTTTCTGATCCAAGCGGCGTTGCTCTGTGTGCGACGTGCTGGGAGACAAATATTGACAACAGCCAGTCGCACGGCAAGCAATGAATCATATCCGAGCACAAATCTAACGGACAAAAGTCCCAAAGGTGAATCACTTTGAGACAGAGCCACTGACAATAAATACCCTGACGCAATATGCCTTCTGTTCTCCTGCAACATGGTCTAAATCTCAACTGCCTCTTTTTGAGAATATCCATAATAACAAACGAAACATCCTACCGCCAATAGGGTTTTCTACTTTTTTTTTTGGGAGACTTTGATTCCCTTGTGCCTCCAGCTCCCGAAGAATAAATCTACATCAACATGGGATGCACACTGTCGGTAGAGGTCGAATTTCCCGCCAGGAGGAAGCGCCACAGGAGGCATAAACGCAGACACCACATCCCCATCTATAGCACGACTCACCCCGACGGATTTCTAGAAGCAGTACTGGGCCCCGGGCCAGGTGTTTGTCGGCAAACAACTCACGGCGGGAGACAAACAACCCCCTATTGTGGCACAGTCACACACCCTCAGCAAGCAATGAGTCACGAGCTTGATATCCTCAAGCCGCGGGTGGACGAAAAGACCAAGATTGTGGATGCTGAGGAACCCGCCCCTCCCAAGACGGTAAGTGTTGACACTCAAGACCTTGCTAGTAGCAGAAAGATAATGCTTCGTAGGAGACGACGCCCGAAGCAGACACGGGACAGGAGGCCGCAGAAGCTGCGTAGCATGGCGTGAGCAATTTTATTGGCACCAGTCTCCCCTGAGATATACTGTCCCGTATATATATACAAGCAGGACGCTCATATAGCATAGCATGCTACAGTGCGGTCCGCAGCAAAATTGAGGCGTGTGTTAGACATGCCATCGAAACACTATTCTCATCGATGGGGGAAGCTCCCCCAGCACGGAACCCATCCCTCTCAAGGAACCTGGCTCGGATACCTGAAGGGGTTGAGTAGTTCCTTCAGTGTCCCTCGGTTTACAGGGGTTCTACTCGCAAAGCACAGCCGATGATACCAACCGGTCAGAAATTGAAGGCCTTGCGCCGAGAAGACTGGCTGGTTTAGCATCCCCAGCACATTAATTCTTCCAGCAAATATTCCCAGATCCTCTTCGTCATGAAACATCAGTGATAAGAGCGTGATTCCCACTTTAAATCCCGCGCTATCCAGTGCCGCAACAGCAATACCAGTCACCGGCCACCATGGTAAGACTCGAGAACACCATACGGACACGATGGCTCTGCGCAATCCCCAGAATTCCGTCCATCATATCGGCAAAGTGTTGCGTATGTCAGCCCCTTCGGTCCGCAGCCTCTCTACGAAGGATGGCCAGCCCGCGCAGGCCATTCACGGGAGGAGGCCAAAGCGACACCATTGCGCATCAGCACATCGACCACGTCATCGTGGCCCCGGAACGCCGCCTGGACCAGCAGGGTGTTGCCGACACTGTCCCTGGTGCAGATGTAAACGCCCGCGTCGAGCAGGACCTGGACAACGTCAGCGTGCCCCTTTGCAACGGCCGCCAACATGGCCGATTCTCCCAAGCCCGGGTCCGCCTTGATGTCGCTGCCGCCGCCGTGCGCGAGGAGCACCTTGACAACCGCCGCGTGTCCCTTGCGGGCGGCCTGCACGAGGGCCGGGTTCCCGTTTGGATGCCGGGGCCTAGCGGCGCCCTTGTCGAGGAGCATCTCCAGGATGGCAGGGCACCCGAACTTGATGGCGTGCCAGAAGACCGTCTTGCCCCGGGCGTCGGGGGCCTGGACGTCGGCGCCGCGCCGCATGAGCACACTGGCCGCGGCCTCGTTTCTGACGCGGACGGCGGCGTGCAGCGGGG